ACAGACACGGAAAGTGTGGAAGGAAACGATGACTAGAAGCGAGGTCGTAGAGGGGTGGTGGAATATAGCAGTTCGGTTTTTATATGTGCTGAGAAGTAAGAGCACATAGTAAGACAAAGGGTAAAATTGGGTTGTTCTCTGCATAAAGAATATATTAGCAGACTTTTATTTCACATAACTAGATAAGATATATAGCTATTCCGTTTCTGCTGTTTTTCTACTTAGGTGACGGTTTCGAAGCGGCCTAGTCGGCGAGTCTGATGTGCAGGCGACAATTGAATTAAGGAAGATGCCGAGGCATTCTCCGAGGCAGGAGTCTGACCGGCTGTTTCCGGATCGCTAATATGGGAAGCCGCTAAGAGGAGCAGGATCGGGTAGCAGAGCCCCCAGTATCGGTAGAAGACGAAGGTTTCGGGGTCGTCAGGCGCGGTCTCTTCGTCGGCGTGCCGGCAGGGTCAGGACAGGGACGCTTCTGCGAGGGTGTAGCTAGGTCGGCCAAAGTAGAAGTTGAAGCAGAAGTTATTAAAGCCGAAGGTGGAGGACTTGGCGGGAGGGTACCAGGTGTTGCCACGGAGTAAGAGGCAGCGAGTATATCCCGGAAAGCGGCCGAAGCGGAGGACGGTTTTCCTTTAGTGGTGTCGAGATAGCCGAGGACGAGGCAGCCGCAGTGCTGGTGGCCTTATCGAGAAAAGTCCAAGAATCCGGGACGACGATAAAGACATAGTCTCGGTCGGAGCCTGGGGGATGAATCATGACGCGGTGACTGAGCAGGCCAGCAACTTTGCCCGTGCAGGTAAAGGGGATGCTGGGCTGAAAGTAAGAGTCCCTCCTCTCGGCCATCTTCTTACATAGTATAGCCCAGGGGTTAGCGTGAATGGGAAGAGATAACGAAGACCTCGAATTGGTGGAAGCCTCTGAAAGGGATCTTGTCGGGAATGCCAGGAGCTAGATACGTAGAGAGCTGGACGAAGCCGCAGCAATTTAGCTGGGCGGCGTCTGGGTCTGGCAGAAGGTCTTGTCGTAGCAGGGTGACCCGGGCCAAGGATGAAGCCGGTGAAGGAAACGATAGGCGGGATGCAAGGGAAGTTATCCATAGAGGCGAAGAGTCTAGGGAGGATGCTAAGAGGACAAATCAGCCGGACCTCTCGCCCGAGAGCCGAGAGCGGTACGCGCTAGGGTAAAATGGCACGCCTTACGGCTGGTAACCCTGGTCGCGGACGACGAGGGCGGGCATGGTGTAGATAAGGGTGTCGCCAGTTTCAGACTCTAGGCCGTCGCGCTGCTTAACCTCCCAGGCAAGGGCGTAGGGGTGGACGCGGCCGTTCATAAAAAACCATTCCTCAGACCATTCGGAGGCGATAACAGGCTGGTTGTAAATAGAGAGATTGAGACTGAAGAAGATGGATGTCGGCGAGTCGTCGGTATCCAATCGGAGCGGCGCATATTCCGCGGTGAGCAACCATGAAGGAGGTGGCAAAAAGATGCGGGCAATGGTCTCGGCGTTGAGACCTCTAACGCGATGCTCGTCCTGATGGGGAAATCTCGAGGGCAGTCGGGCTGGACGAAGAACATCATAGACATATCACCACCCGCGCCTTTCTGGCTATCGAGCGGCTTTCGAAGGTGTGGTGGAGGTAGCGGTGACGAGGAAGACATCGTGCATATCTATGTTGGCTAATAAGTGGTTTGTGCGCCTAGAAAAATGATCGGTATAAGTCGTTAAGAAGGAAGTAAGAGGTGGAGAATAAAGCGGCCTTTTTTATAAATCCAAGGTATTATAGAACCAGTGGGGAGAGCGAGAAGCTTTGCCATGGCAAGTTTGAATTTTGATAAGGATGCGTGGTGCATAATAGCTCTTGACCCGACGAGTAAGCCAACGAGTAAGCCACACGAAGAGGCGGTGTGGAGAAGGTTGCCTGTTAGAATGGAACGGAAATTTAGGGAAGACTGTCTTGGGAGCTATCGTGCCGGGTGAGCTGAATCAGATGGCAGGGCTATCCCTTTTTCCGTTGCAGCATAGGTAGCGAAGAAAAGAAAGTCTAATTTGATGTTCCTTGAAACGCATACCTGCAACGACAGATTCGGAAGATGCGGAGGAGAGCAGAGTAGTAGAAGGCGGCCTTAGATGGAGTTGCGGTGTGTATTCCTATGCATGGGCTGGTCGAGGCCGTCCGGAAAGGATGGACGGACGGCGGTAGGGTGGTGAAGGGGGGAGAAAGGGGGGGGGCTCTCGCGGATAAGCATTGCCGCGTCGGCTCAGTGCTAAAAGATCACAGGGTTTAGTTATAGGAAGGGATTGGTAGGAAAAACGCCAACACGGCGGACCATTATTGTTAGGAGGCGAGATAATATTGAAGAAAGATCCGGGGGCAAACTTTTATGGTCCATCATCCGTGTGCAGAGCCGCGGCGTTAAGATAGCATCGACATGGGAGAGAGTTCTCGCTGCGAGGTTCGGTCGGTAGAGGGAGAAGGTGAAATGGTGATGGGAGCAGCGGCCGTTGCTGCGACGAGAAATGTCGCTGCGGCGAGATTGAGCGCAATGGATGATTCGCTAAAGCGGGTGTCGGGATATAAGAGACAGGCAAACGTGGCATCCAGGTTTCGGCCCATCATGGCCAAGCAGGGGCTGGTCGAGGAGGTCTCGCGAGGAGAACAAGCGGAAGCGCTTAAAGAGCGTTGCCCAAGAGAAGCCGGCGAGGCGGTCGGCGGCCAAAGGGAAAATCAGTATTGAACGATGGCATTTCGAAGGCGGCCCCATCACGACTTTCAGCACCGATAAACGTGGGTGATGATAAGCTAGTGAGCATGGAGACGGACTTTGCCATGCAAGGGTTGGGTGCGAAGCCGTGTGGAGGGAGTCTTGTGCCGTCCGTCGGCGGTGTGTTGCAGCGCGAGGGTAACGACCCGATCACCTACCGGCACCTCTTGCCCAAGGAGGGGAGGGCTGGGGATGATGAGAGGAGGGCAGCGACCACGGTAGGTCTGGAAGCACCATGTCCTCCGGAAGCCTTAGTCGGGCGAGAAGACGGCCTAGACAGTGGGAGATGGTCCGGCGTGGCCGTAAGTGGCTCTGAGACGGTTAGGCGACCCAGCGGTAGCGAACTGACGAGGCCGAAAGGTCTCGTCGAGCGGACAGGTGGTGTGGGGGGAAAACGCCGGGTTGGAAGACCGATAACGGTGATGAGATTTCGGCTGGAAGGCGGGAGCCAGCATTCGCCAAGGCCCATCCGATCCAAAGAGATGGAGAATACGGCCGGACCTGCGCCTGCTCTTATGAGATTTCGATTGGAAGGCGGGAGCCAGCATTCGCCAAGGCCCATCCGACCCAAAGATATGGAGAGTGCGCCGGGAGCTGCGCCTGCCCCCCCTGAGGAGGCCGGATTATCACACGCCGGGATCGCGGAGGGCGTGCAGATCGGCACGTCTGGAAAGCGGAACGATAGGGCGCGGACGAGGCAGAAGGGAGCGAGGATACTCTAGCAGCCCGGGAAGGAAAGGTCGGCCGGCAACGGTCGACAGTGTCCGGCCTATCGAGGCGAAGCAGGCGCTGGCGGCCGAGGAGATCTCACGAAGAGAACAAGGGATGCATTGAAAGAGCGTTGCCCAGGGAAGTCGGCCAGGTGGTGGGCTGCGGAAAAGGCGATGCACGTGAATGGCGCCGCCTTGAAGGGAGGGCGCGACGCTCGACACCGATAAATGTGCGTGAGAGGCGTACGGACGAAGGACCGAAGCGGGTGTTGGGCGACGAAAGTCAAGCGGACCCGGCACCTAGGTTCCGGCCTATCCAGGCGAAGCAGGCGCCGGCGTCCGAGGAGGGTTCACGAAGAGAGCGGGTAGAAGCAGTCGAAAGAGCGACGCCTCTAGGAAGCCGGCGAGGCAGTCGGCCGCGGGATAATAGGACGCGCGTCCATGGTGCTTCTTCAAAGGGAGGGCAAGCGCGATGTTTAACAAGATTTCGGCTAGAGAATGTAAGCCAGCACTCGCCGCAACCCACCGTCGCCCGGCCAATTCAAGCGAAAGCGATAGGAGACAGAGCAGGAGATCTGCAGTCATCCGGGCGGTTATTACCACGGCCGTCACGCCTGGCAGGGCAGGATCGGCCGGCAGGGGCGGTCGGGATTTCGTCCACGGCCGTCAGGAGCCCTCGTTCAGCCAGTCGAGCCTAAAGAGCCGGGAGATGGAGCCGGAGATACACAATCACCCGGACGGTTGCTACCACGACCACCACGCGGGGCAGCGGTGGGAGAGGAGGATCGGCCGAGGCGAGTCGAGGCGGTAGCGAGATCTTCGGAGTCCGTGGAGCAGAGAAGAGGATCGGCGAGCCCGACCGAGACGAGCTGCCAAGGAAACGTATTCGAGGCGGCCGTCGGAGGCAGAGGAGAAGTGAGCTACAGGCGGAAGATCTAGCCAGCGTCCTACGTTACCTGGAAGACGAATTTGCCGCCAAGGAGAGGCTGTCCAAGGAGCAAACTTGGTGCACACCAGTGCCGCATGAGAGGAAGGTATCGACGGTGCGAAGTTTTTATCGGGCGTTCCACGATGCGGCCACCTTGCCGATACGGACATGTATGCTGTGCTACCGCAAGCGTTCGAGGACGGAGCTTAAGGAGATGCCGTGGGATCGGTGGCTGTCGAGCCCCGTCCCTAAGGGTGAGGGCTCGCCGTTCGCGTGTCGGAGTTGCTTCCGTGAGGCGAGTCTATCGTGGTCTGCGCGGAGTGTCATCGAGGGCTGGCGCGTGGGGTGCTGTCGCCGGCGGCCCAACTTCATTGTCGCCTCGGTTGTGAGCATATGCTCCTGATGAGCTCAAGGGCTCACGCCAGTGGGAGAAGCTGATTGCGCTAAACTCGTGTTACGGGTTCGTCACGAGGTATAGCGTCCCGGGCGGCCAGAAGCAGACGCTGAGGTACCCCAAGCACGTCAAGGGCCACATCACGGTGTTTCCGAACAATGTACAAGAATTGGTGACGAAAGTGCTGCCGCACCCTCTCCTGCAGGTGATGGACGAGATCCACATCTCGTGGCAGGGGGCGGTAAAGCCGACACCGAGCGACCTATCGAGTCTCTTGTCTGTGAGGCGGCGCGTTGTCGAGAGGGCTCTTGTTTGGCTGAAGAGAAACAACCCACACTATGCCGAGATCGAGATCGACGCGGCTGAGATGGAGAGCTGGGGAGAGTCGGCCCACGGGGTGCCGCCGTCGGTGTACGGGCGCCTGGAGCGGAACGAGCCGTCGGCATGGGAGAAGACGCGGACGGCGCATATCGTGCCGCCCACGGAGCGGGCCATGGACGACGAGGGCGCGGTAGAGATCGAAGAAGTCCTGTCTCTGCTCAACCAAGGGGGAGGAAGCGCGACGATTCTCGAGGACGACGAGCCAGAGTCAATCGAGGTAGACGAGGCGCGTGGTCAGAGCGGCGACGAGGCTAATCACGATGCGGAGACGATCAACGAGGTAACCTCGTCGGGAATGTTTGCGTTAGACGGGCCGCCCGACGTCGCCGACGTGGATAAATTGCGCTTCGCATGTGATGCCGTCCGCGAAGGGCGGGCGACGACGGCGGCGCGGGTCCGAGGACGTGGGTGGAAACCTCGGCAAGGGGCAGCCAGGGCACGCCGATGGTTCCGAACCGTATATAGGCGTTCGCCGCGGCGATGACTTCGCCGACTCGTTCGAAGCCTCCTTTTTCGCGAAGACCTTTCCACGCTGTTGCCATTTGGCGTCGGAGGGCCGCGACCGGTCGAAGAAGCAGCCGTACAACTAGGCAGAGGCACCGCCGACATACGCGAGCAGGAGGCCGCGACGCGAGAGCTCGTGTCGTCTCGGAACATGAGCCTTCGGACCTGGGCCGACACGGTGTTACGACGCCACGGTGGCCGGTTCGCGACGCACCACATCTTCGCCTTCCTCGTCTTTAATATAGGCGTGCGGTCGAGGAACCGCCGCGTCAGCATGCTAAGCGTGACGAGGAAGAACTTCCGCAAGGTGGAGCGCATCGTACGGTCGCTAACCGCGGACGGATTGGCGGCGGCCAGGGCCGAGCTAGAGAGCACAGGCAAGACGACCGATGATGCGGTGAAGGAGCTGCTCAGGAGCCTTTCGCTGTATGGGTATCGTCAGCCCATGTCGAGGGAGGTCCGTCTCGGGATGCGGCATAGGATCCTGGCGCTCATCGTCCGTTACGGCGTGCCCGCCATCTGGTTCACGATCAACCCAAACGACATCACGAATCCGGTAAAGCTCCGACTAGCAGCGTACCGCGCGCGCGACCCGAAGCGGCCGAGGAGTTCCTACGAAGCCTCGATAAGGCGTTCAAACGTGTGCGGCTGTCCGTGTCCGACCCGATGAGCTCGGCCGTCTTCTTCCACCGCGAGATGACGCTGTTCTTCGAGCATTACGTCAATGCCGGGGGGGAGTCGGTCTTCGGCCGCGTCAGCCAGTATTATGGCGCCGTGAAACGAACGAGCGAGGCTCCTCCACGTGCACGGGCTGCTCTGGCTCGAGGAAACGCCCACCTCAGCTCGATGCTTGCCGACTCAGACGGCGGGAACAAGCGGCATACCGCGAGCGAATCGTCCGCTACGTCGATAGTGTCTTCAGCGAGGTAAGGAACGGCGGGGGGGGAAACTAGGACCTGGACCAGGAAGGGTTCTGCGCCGTCGAGGCAGAGCGTTCGGTGACGTCCGATATCTCGTCCCTGCTGGACAGGGCCGATCAGTTCTCGGCCTCGTTCGAGGAGGAAGCCAACTTCTGCGCCGGCGCGACCCAGATCCATACCCACAGCCCGACATGCGTCAAGTACTCCCTCGGCAGCAAGGGGCGGAAGGGCGCCGACCTCTGTCGCTTTAAGGCACCGTGGGAGCGGGTCGAGGAGACGACCCTGTCAGCGGACGGCGTGCTGCGGATCCGCAGAACACATCCCATGGTGAACCGGTGAAACAAGGCCATCGCCGTCGGGCTCCGTCACAACCACGACATTTCCTTTATAGCGACGCAGCGGAAGACCATGGCGCTCGTCTACTACGTGACCAATTACGCGACTAAGGTGGAGGACCCGACGTGGAAGCGCGTCGCCGCCGCCGCCGAACTGCTGCCCGTCGTGTCGGCCGGTAGTCAGCCGGGTGCCGGGGATGACGTAAGTAGCGGCGTCGTCGGCGACGGCGATGGAAGGAAAAACAAGACGCGGCAGTTTCTCATGAGAGTGGCGAATCGGGTGTTCACGGAGCGGGCGCTGTCGCAAGTCGAGGTCGTCGCCCATCTGCTGGGACACCCGAGCGAGTTCTCGGGAAGCAGCGCCTGGGCGTACCTGAACGTGTCGGTGCTATACTGGCACGTCTCGAGGCTCTGGCGACACCTTCGGCAGCAGAGCGGCACCGCGGCGGTCGAAGACGTGTCCGTCGCGGACGAGTCGGTCGTCGTCGAACAAGCAGGCGAGAGGATCAGTTTCGCCGAGGCCTATCATCATCGCGGACATGTCCTACGAGGCTTGTGCCTATACGACTATGTTTCGCTCGTCAGGCTCCAACGCGTCGGCAAGGCCGGCTGCTCCGGCGGCTCCGGCGGCTGGGTGGCCGGTAAAGACTGGGTCCAGGTGCTAAGGCGGCCGGGAAAGTACGCCGTCGTCTGCCTCGACGGCTACCTAAGCAAGGATTTCGAGCAGGACGACGAGGAATCGGCTCATCGCAGGTAAGTGCGGGCGGGCAAAGTGGCCGAGTGAAGAGAGGGTTGCGACGCCGCGGGGGCTGGCTGACTTACACTTATTGTGCCGTCGCAGGGCTGCCGTCCAGCATCTTGCGCTATTTGTGCCGTGGGAAGCCTTTCTCGGCGAAGGAGGGGACATCAATGAGATATGGAGGCGGGCGCGAGCTGCTTCCGCCGAGAATCTCGTGCCTCGTCGACAACGTTCAACTGCTCCGGCGGTCCGCCGAGGACGCGAGGCGAGACGCCAAGCAGTGGGCGGCCTCGGGCGGCGCCGGGATTGCGCCGGCGCTCTCGGCGAGGCGGGGAGGGGAGGAGGCGACACCCGGGGACGACGACGCGGCCTCGGCGTACCAGGCCGACAACGTCGGAAGGCAACGCGACTAATCGACGTCGTCCGAAGCGCGGCCGGGGCGAACCAGATCACGGCGGGATCGCGCGAGCTCTCGGGTATGATACAGCAGCTGTGCCGCTTCCAGCAGTCAGCGCTGGCCTCGACCGCCGAGCTCGAGGCCTCCATCGTCAGGGAACGGGGCGGGAGGCGCATCGACTTGCCGGGGCGGGTCTTTTCCGGGGCCGCGGTGCCGCCGCAGGACCAGGTCAAGGCCATCAAGTCGCAGCAGACGAGCGCCTCGAGGAGAGGTGAAGATGATACAGGGTATACAAAGCATGGCCACGGCCCACGGCACCGATCGTGGCGCGGCGGGCGGAGTGTGCTGACCGGCTTCGGCGAGGAAGGCGTGCAGATAACGGCGGCGGAAGCCGGGGAGACGGCAGGTAACGCCGAGGCCGGCATGGAAGTCCGCCTCGGCCCGTCGACCTCGTTCCTCGAGGCCGGAAAAGGCTTGACGAGACGCTTGACGCTAAACAAGAAGCAGGCGATTGCCTTCTCCATAATATGCCGCCACCTGGACTCGATGCGGCAAGGAGACGGAGGCGACGTCAGCCAGCTCTGTCAGTTCGTCGGCGGCGAGGGCGGTACCGGCAAGTCGCGCGTCATCGAAGCACTCGTCGGCCTCTTTGCCGCTAAGGGCATCTCGAGCCGGCTGCTGATCACGGCGACGTCGGGGACCGCGGCGGCCCGGGTCAACGGTATCACCATCCACTCCGCCTGCGGCTTCACCAAGGACCAAGGGCCGGGCGCGAACACGGCGAGGGAGGTCGACGGCGTACGGCTGCCGAGGCAGGCGGAGCGGTTCGTCGACGGCGAGTCCCGCATGGACTGGCAGGACAAGGAGGTGCTCGTCATCGACGAGGTAAGCATGCTCGGCGCGCGCACGCTGCACGCCGTCAACGAGCGGCTCTGCCAGCTGCGGGGTCGCAGCGGGACTTCGGCGGATCCCCATCGTCCTCTTCTGCGGGGACTTCCACCAGTTCCGCCCGGTCCAGGAAAGGTCGATCCTACTGCCGAGCTCGGCCGTCTCGTGGGACGAGGACTACTCGTTCAGGGCCGAGCAGCGCCACCAGCACGACAAGGCGCACGCGCTGTGGAAGCGGTTCACCACTGTCGTCATGCTGGACGAGCAGATGCGCGCCGCCGGCGACCCGGAGCTGCAGAGGCTGCTAAAGCGGATCCGACTGGGCGTGCAGGATCACACCGACCTAGACCTCCTTAACTCAAGATGCTACCGGGAAGGCAGGCGAATCCGTGGGAGACAGGCATCACCGTGGTCACGCCGCTAAATAGGAACCGGTGGAATCTCAACATGGAGGCGAGCTTAGCATTCCAGATGCAACGACGTTTGACGATACGCATCTTCATCTCCGAGCATAAGTGGAAGGAGGGGCTGCCGACCGAGGAAGAGGCCATCATGATGCTAAACCAGGGCGACGACAGCGCGACCCCAGTGCCGGGCGTCTTTATGTTTGTGGCCGGGATGCCGGTCGTCGTGAACCACAACACCCACCAGGGGCTGAAGCTGGTGAACGGCGCCAGCTACACGGCGGCCGAGGTCATCGTCGACAAGGTGCACCCGGCGCATCGCATCTCGGCCGATATGGCGATCCACTTCGGGCCGCCGGCGGCGATCATACTAGGGTCGGAGACGACTAAGGACTTCCACTTCGTCGGGATGCCGCCCGGCACGATCCTGCTGACGCCTATGAGCGTCAGGATCCAGTGTCACCGGAAGCGACCGTGGCAGCAGAAGGAGGTCACCCGCAAGGGCCTGCCGTGCGCCGCGGCCTTCGCGTGCACCGATTATAAGGTGCAGGGCGGGACGCTCGAGCGTGTCGCGCTCGAGCTGCGAGGGACGAGGACGACAAACGTCGGTGGACGTGCCGTCCCCTCGCAGTGCGACCCTTACAGCCTATACGTGCAGCTATCGCGGTGTCCGACGCTAGACGGCATCATGCTCATATCGGAGGTGCGAGAGAGAGACTTCGTGGGAAACCGGGTCCCCCGGGAGATGACGGCCGCACAAGCGAGGCTCGAGGAACTGAGTGACAGAACCGTCCGGGAGGCGCTGCGCTGGCTCGGCGACGACTTCGAATACGCGTAGGAATAGTGAACCCTTCGACAGGCACAAATATGAATGAAATGACATCGGACGTTAGACGCGGGAAACGGTGCAATTGTCTGGCTAATCGGAAAGCGCAATTTGAGCGGGAGCGGGAACAGTGGGAACAGCTGACGTAAATAAAAAAGAGTGACTAAGACGAGAAAAAAAAGGGGGGGGGAGAGGCGACGACTTTCATATATGGCCAACAGGAAAGCGGGATGAAAAAGGACACAAATGAGGGGGGGGAAAAAGGGGCAAACTTGTAGGCCAACCGAAAAGCAATCGTTCAAGACGAAAGAGGCAATTTTTCTAGCCAACGGGAAGCCGAGAAAGCTAGCGAATCAGAGGCGCGGATTCGGGGGGCAAAAAAGCGCGGCATAGAAATCCTTTCGTTCCTCAAGGCATGGCGAATTTTTTTTCTCCCCGGGGAGGAACCCTAAGAACCTTTCGTCACTCGTTCCTCGTTCCTCAAGGCATGGCGAATTTTTTTTCTCCCCGGGGAGGAACCCTAAGAACCTTTCGTCACTCGTTCCTCGTTCCTCAAGGCATCGTTCCTCGTTCCTCAAGGCATTTTTTTTCTCCCCGGGGAGGAATCCTAAGAACCTTTCGTCACTCGTTCCTCGTTCCTCAAGGCAAAGTGGGTCCTCACCACCTGTCTGTGTCAACCACCTGGCTGTGTCACTTCACCGCTTCAAGCCTCTATCTTGACCTCAACAACGGCACATTATGAAGAATAAAGAGCTTACGCTTGAAAGGCGCGTAGCCGAGGCTATTAAAGCCATTGAGGCAAATCCCAATATGTCCCTTCGCGCTGCGGCTAAGGAATTTGGGGTTCCACGCGAACGACTCCGCTTGCGATTTCACGGCATCAACCTCGCAGCGGCCATAAAGCAACGCATACGAGGCTATCGCCAGCTCAAGAGGACTCAATCGATCTGTATATCGATCGTCTTGAGCGTATAGGACTTGCGGTGCGGAAGGACTTATTACGCGATGCAGCAAATCGGGTTCTAAGCTCCACGGTCGGCCCTGATGGTACCCGCAACGAACCCTTCGACTCCCAATGCTTTGTTGGCAAAAACTGGATATCCCGTTTTATTAAACGCAAGGGGTATCATATTACGAAGCAAAAGGTTATCGCACGAAGGATGAGCAAGTGGGCATAAAGATCAGGGACTGGAAGACTCTTGATTCTGCTATCTAAGGTGGGAAAGAGGCGAGATCTTTATAGACTGCCTGAATATGAGAATGGAAGGGAATGGTAGTGAATGGAAGCATCTGATCGGATCATCTGGAAGCCACTGATGATGTTTATTTCGCCATTGACGATAGTCAGAGGCACTGCGTCAGACTCGCTAAGCCTAATCTAGAGTTGTCCAATTCTCGGTTCCGAGCCCAAGGAATTCGTCCCGATCGAATGCCTAAATTTCTCTTACATCCTTCAATCCGTCTCTTGCTCATTTGACCTGTCCCTTTCCAATTCTGGAGCCTGTCTGATGAGTACAGACCACTCTCCTCCGCCGCATTTGACGAAGAGTCCACCTGCCTTTAGCCGTCCGGTGTAGCTAACCTACCAGCTGTGGGGCAACCACAGGTATAGGTAGAGGTTTGTGCTGAAAAGAAAGGTTAAGACAGAGGATGTATGTTAGTAGGGCGACGGTCGTAACTTGGCGAGTTCCGGCGATATACCGGGCACCCAGGATCTGTAGCCTTGTGTGCTCCTTTTCCACCGCACGCTGCACACTTAAAAACGTTCGAGGTGCAAGTCGACGCAGAATGGCCCGGTTGGCCGCACTGTCCACAGATCGGAGCTGGGGCCTTGCAGCGATAATGCAAGTGTCCGTAGAGGTGGCAACGGTAGCATCTCGCTGGTTGAAGTCCCTGAACGAATGGTCGCGTGTATGCACACTCGCCATTCGCCATCTCAACCGTTCGTTTTGCAAGCAACCTGTCCACCTCCTCTTTCTTATCCAGGTGTACCACCAGAGAGCGGTACTCCTTGTCGACAGACGCTGTCCCGAGCCATCGCATCTTGTGCACTTTCACCCCGTTCATCCGCCCAAACACGGCGCATCCGATATCATCCGTCGCAACCCCACGATGGGCTCTATCAACCCGTAGAGGGTACCACTGCTCCCCATATAGCGTTCCCTTGTCGAAATGTGTCCTTATCCAGGTGTCGTTCTGCCGTACTTTATCGACGTCCGTCTCTCGAAAGAGAAGCCGAAAACGCCCGTTTCCTTTAGAATTGACGCCAAGACAGGTCACACCAAATTCTCAAGGGCAGCGTTCGCGCGCCGACGAATAGTGCCGGCATTGCCTTCCTTTATGTCACTATCTAGGACCCGACTCGTCAACCCAATGCCTGGCAGTGGTCCTGGGACTGGAGAGGGTGGTGGCGAAGGTGGCAGGTGCTGTTGCTGTTGCTGATGAGGCGCATTTGGAGTGGCGGACTCCGGAGGGCTAGCGACGCGTGGGAAGAGCTCGTTTCGAATGAACTCTTCCAAGGACTCGACGCGTTTCTCTGCCCTTTCGGCCCGCTCCTCGACGCGTTTCAAAAGAGCTTCGATTCGTGCCAATGAATCCTCGTTGGCACCGGGGTCGGCATTCGTCGATTTCGCTTTCGGGACGGCGGATTTCTTTCGTGATGGGCGCGGTTCTGGGTCGAATTGCAGTGTCGGTTTCAGAGGGCGACCGCGAGCGCTGGTCCTTGTCGCGTCGGGCGCGCTTGTCGAATTGGCCACAATGATGCTACAGGCCACATTGTCGTTCGTACCGTCATCCTCGTCATCGAGCAACTCGAATTGGTTCGAGTTGCGCTTGGTGCTGTTCTTGCTTTTCCGCGGCATTGTTCCTCTTCGGAAGCCACTGATGCGTTGATGATGCCTCCTAGAAGTTTCTGTGGGGAAATGTGGAAACGGACTGTGCGAATAGGGGGTCAGACTGTTGGAGGCTGATATCCTATGTGTGACATACCCCCCCAGGTTGTGCTGGCTAGTGGGCAGTGCAAACTGAAGAAAAAACTAGATCCCTAGCAACGTAGAGATATCGACGAGACCGAGTTGTTTGACGAAAGTAGCAAATTTCTGGCCTGGCAGAGCTTTGGTGAGGCCGTCTGCAATCATCTGGGAAGTAGGCGTATAAGTGAGCTTATAGAGGCCTTTCTCAAATGCCTGCCTAGCCCAACAGGTGTGTATGTCAACGTGACGAAGGGCTGTGCGGAGGCGTGGAATATCCTGTGTAACAAGACGAATGGTTTGAAGGTTGTCACATTGGATCGTCGGAATTCCATCAAGCTTAAGAGAGCTGCTCAAAGAGACGGAAGGTTGCAATAGTCTCTTTTGCCGTGTGCGAGAGCAAGCAATTCAGCTTCTGTGGAAGAAGTGGTGACTGTATCCTGTTTACCGGCTTTCCAAGCAATAGGGCCACCGAAGAGGGTAAGGATTGAACCCTGGGATGACTTGCGAGTCTTTTTATCATCAGCGAAAGCAGCGTCGGATGCGCTTTGGAAATCGCTATGATGTTGAGCGTGGAGCTGAGGAACAACATCCTCGTCGAGGCAGGGTTTCCCTGAAAACTGGATGGCGAGATACCTAGTGGCGTAGAGGTAATCGATCAGATGGTCTGCGAGCTTGGAGTGATGCTCGGAAGGGTTGTTGAGGAATTCAGCTAGTTTAGACGCTGGCTTGGCTATGTCCGAGCGGGTGATAGCTGCGGCGTAGTTCAGTGATCCAACTTTGCTCTGGTATAGCTGAATTTGGTCTGGAGAAGCCTGCCCTGTGTGCGGCTGGACTTCGTTGCACGGGAAAGGGGCTCCTCTGAAGTGGTCACGCCGTTCAAGGTCGAACCGTTGAACCATCCTTTCAATGTAGGAGTCTTGGCATAGCCAAAGCTTCCTGTTGGGTCTGTCACGCAGGACTCTGATACCAAGGAACCATTGTAATTCCCCTTGGTCTGTCATCGCGTACTTCCTCTTGAGGGCTGCAACCATCTCATCAGCTGCGTCCTCGTTTTCCTTGCGATAGAGGAAAACAATATCGTCAACGAAGAAGAAGACAGTGAGCCAGTCATTCTGGAAGATGCAGGGTTCGTCGGGACACTGTGTAAGACCAAGCTCTCTGAATGCAGCAGTGAGTTCCTTCTGCCAAAGAAGAGGGGACCGTCGGAGGCCATAGAGGGCTCGCATGAGGCGAAGAGCCCATCCCTGTCTGTAGTATCCGTCTGGGAAGGCTACATAGACCTCCTCCTCGTCTTCTAAGAGGGCGTTTGTGAAGGCATTAACTGCGTCGAGCTGTCGGGTCTCAAGGTCGAATTTGGCGGTGATGGCCATGAGAATCCGGAAAGAACGTCCTGCAAGGGTTGCTGCATAGGTGTCCTTGTCACCTAGCTGTTGAAGATCTCCTCGAACACAAAGACGGGCTTTGAACTTTGTAAGAAAGCCAAGCTTGTCGAACTTATACTTAAAGACCCAGGTAAGTGGCAAAAGCTTGCCCGTGACCTGGTCTCTGGGGACCGCTCTGAAGGTTCCTCTCTGTTGGAGTGCTTTCCACTCGGCGTGGGCTCCTTCTCTGAACTGAGGACCAAATCTGTGGGTGCGAAGTTCCTTATACGTCGTAGGTTCGGGAGGAAGGTGTCGTCTGTGAAGTTTTCTTCTCTGCCGAGAAAGAAAGAGCTGTGGAATTGACCCTTAGTGTTGGCCGAAAAAGCACTGAGCTTGCGAGGCTTTGGAGTGCGGGCTGAGCGCCGTGGCTGAGAGTCACTCGGACCGGGGTCCGGTGTCGGATATGGGTGCTGAATGTCATGAAACTCATCCTGATCATCCGAGTCCTCATGATCAGATGGTTCGGGTTGTACCACAATCGTGGTGGCGTCTCCTTGGTCTGAGGTTGAGGAGATTGCTCAACGGGGTCAGGTTCAGGTTCATCGATTTGAGTGGGGATTTCCTCGTAATCCGACTCGTCCTCGATGTGGGCTGGAAGCTGTACTTCCACGCGCTGTGGGATAGGTTCTGGTGGCTGATCATTTCCGTCATAGAAGATGCTTTCATTGAAGGTCACATCTCGGACCCTTCGGACTTCTGATGTGGACGGAATCAGATCCTGAAAATGTTCGTGGAATCATATCCAACGAGATAACCGATTTCTGTGTGAGGTCGGTCTTTAGGTCCTTCTTCTGTCTGTTCTGAAGGGCCTGGGGTGTCAAGGATAGGCTCTGCAGCCGTATGCCTTGAGAAACGTGATGTCAGGCTGGTCTTGCTGGTAGCCTATGTCTCTGTTGTTGTCTCGCAGCCACTGATGAAGCAGCTGGAAAGGCGTTCGGAAGCTGTGGTTCTGCATGGGCGATCTGTTGTGCAAAAACACTGCTGCTTTCCAAGTCTCTGGCCAAAGATCAGATGGTAAATTGGCATCAATTCCCATTGTTCTGGCCTGGGCAGATATTACCCCCCCAGATCGCTCTGCAGAACCGTTTTGAGTGGGAGTGTAAGGGGCAGAAGGTTCATCTTGAATCCCCTTTTCCTCGATCCAGCTCTCATACGCACTCTGAAGAGAACGATCGTTATCACGGTGGATAATGCAAATGTTGAGATTCCATTGGCGTTGAACCATTGCCTCGTGGTTTCTCAAAGCAGTCATAACGGACCCTTGTGTCGCGTCATTCAGAAGGTAGATGAAGATCATGCTTGTAAATTCATCTTTGATAAGAAGAACAGCTTCCTTGCCGTTGAATGAGGTGTTCATACTGAAGATATCAACGTAGATTCTCCAGAATGGTCTGGGGCTCGGTTTTGAGGGTTCGGCGAGAGACGACCTTCTTTCCCTTCCCAAGGAACACGCGGTGCAATCGATGGTAACTGGGCCTTTGATCTTCGAACCCGTCGTGTTCTCAACAAGATGCTCTAGGGCTTGAGCGTTCAAGTGACCTAGGCGCTTATGCCAAAGCGTAGCATCTGCTGTTTTCACTGCGCGAGGTGCAGATGAAGATGTGAAGTTGGAGGCGTGAGAGTCCTCCTTAATCGGGTTGAACTCGATGACCGGTTGACGAAAGCGGCGTTTCGTATGAAATATAATCTGATCGTCTTTAGAGACGCGTCCAGATAGTGGATTCCAGTTGTATCCCTTCGCAAGAAAGCGGTCGAGGATGCGATGTTGGTGTGGAATTTTGGCACGAAGGCAACTTCGTTGAGCTGAAAAAGTCCTCCTTCTTCAAGCTTCATACGGACTGTGCCGTAGCCAAGGATCTGAAGTTGACTATCGCCTGCAAAGAGCTCTTCTGGCTCTGCAAGGGCGGTGTAGTCAAGAAAACAGGATCGGTTGTTGCAAATGTGTGTGTCTGATCCGGAATCAAGGATAAAGGAGTCATACAGCGGGTAGACTGCCTTTCCCGTCGAGAAACTGGTTGATGGAGGTGTTGAGGAGGCGGTGTGTTGTCAGGAGCTGGTAGAAGACCGGCAAACGCTGTGCCTTTAACGGAGGAGTCGGACGATTTCTCCATTTCCTTCTTCTTGAAGTCTTGTGCTTTCTCCGTCATCTTCTTTGCCCATGGATTGGAGTCGAGGATTTCCTTGATCTTCTTCTCAACCTTCTGATCAGGAGTCCAGCCATCAGGCCGAGCTGATTTGATGAGATAGAAGCAATCTACGAAGCGGTGATATTCTCCGCAGACACACATAGGAACACCATCAGCGTTCTTGCTTGAAGACCACTTAGGCTTGTCCTCTTTCCTCTCCGATTTCTCTCCCTTGCCTTGGAAGGCAGCTCCGAATGATCCTTTGCTGTTGTTGGCGGCCTTGATTCGGTGAGCTCGTTCAAAGATCTCACTGATCTTAATGCCGTCCGGGAAGTCGGTCTTCCAATCAGGCTTGCCGAATACGGCCTCGTCTTCCATTTTGTTGACCCAATAGTCTGTGAATGGGGCGTTGATGGACGAAACAGCCTGTAGGAAATCTTGGGTAGGGCGAAGGTCCTGGACATCAGGAAGCCCTAATTGCTTTGCCTCAGTGAGGACTTTCTGCCATTGGGTGACCCAAGCTTCGATCTTGGTCCTGTTTGGCGACTGAAGGGTGGAACGATAACGCTGAACAACTTCCTCTCGAGTGCCCAGTCGGTTGGGGCCACACGAGCCTGAAGCAAGGCAAGTTGCTTTGCAACGTCGTGTTCCTCGGCAATGGTGCTGTAGTAGTTGCCGATGGTCTTGACGATGTGTTGTTGAAGGCTGGCGAGTGCCTTCACTTGATCCCTATACCCTTGAAGCTTCGAGCGGTATTGGGTGTGGAGGAATTCGAGACGGCGAAATTCCTCCGAGGTCAGATCCACGAGATCAGATGCTTCGTGGTTGATTTGTCGGAATGTTGGTTCAACTGGCTGCTGAAGAACCGGCTTACCCTCCTTGACGGCAGGGTCCAGAAAGTCCCAAAGACTGTGGGACGTGGCGAATTTCTTGATGATAGAAATCCATTGTTTCCAGTCGCAAGGGCCGTTGAGCACGGTGCCCTTGGAAGAGCCATCAAGATCTAGAGCTGAGCTCATTGTGGAAGCTATTCTGCGCAGCGGAATGAACGAGAATAAGATACCCAGTCAATGGCAGACCGGGCTCATAACTATCGCACGAAGGATGAGCAAGTGGGCATAAAGATCAGGGACTGGAAGACTCTTGATTCTGCTATCTAAGGTGGGAAAGAGGCGAGATCTTTAGGGCAGGATTCAGTTGATACTATGTTATAACCGCTTAACGCGCTTCCTAAATTACGTCTGGCGAGTATTCATGTCAGCCAAGGCCCGCATCATGCTAGCTGAGTTTTTCTTCATGGGTGTAGCATCTACAGCACTTCCGAAACGAAGGGGCACGCGGCCTGATCCCACGGAGTGGGAAGTCCTCTTCCTGGTGTGTCGCGAGTAAGGCACTCGCCACCGAGCCTCGACGGTAGATGCTTGCCGAGCCTCAAGTGGGGGGACCTGACAAGTTGACCCTCTGCACGGTCATGGGTCTCCCCAGCCTGCCCAGTCCCGTCGGCTTCGATCCCTGTATCCGATCTCGATGCTGGCCACGGTTAGCCACGAGATCGAAACTAATAATAACTGTCACGAGCTCCCGGCTGCCCTGCCAAGCCAGAGTCTTGGGGACAATCCTGAATGCTTCATGCCGGGGAGCACAACGTTGGCCTGGCATGATGTCTGCGTTGGCAATTTGTGGGGGAAGTCATGTTTTGGCTGCAAGGCCTTTCCCCGGAATGAGTTGTTTACGCAATCTTTGGTTAGTCAGCATTACGTGAAATTTTGCTGTCCAGCGCGACGCCGCCTCCGCCTCACTTCTCAAGCACACAACCCAAGCTGGACTGGCTGCATGCCAAGTATAGAGTGGTCGAGCAGAAGAGTTCACACTCATACAAGCTGGATGTTCCCGGGCGGATACACCCCGTGTTCCACGTCGACCTGCTGAGGCCTGCCTCTGCCAATCCGCTACCGTCACAAAATATCGAAGACTCACGGGAAGGGCCAATGCTAGTGGATGGACACGAAAAATGGCTCGTAGAAAGGATTTGTCACACACAGGATATCAGCCTCCAACAGGCTAACCCCTACCATCTACACTATGCCAAACAGCCACACCAACCATCAACATTATGCACACGTTATAGGCACCTACACTATATGATCAGATGCTTCTAGCATCTCCCAGCCACTCCTTTATGTCATCTATAAAGATGTTGCTCCTTTTCCCCTCTAGATAGCTAAATCAAGAGTTCTTCCACTTCCTGATCTTCATGCTTGCTGCTGCTCTACACCCCGTGCGATAGGATTTTAGACGAGAAAGTCGTGGGACGAGGGAAGAAACGCTTGAAGAAGCTCCTGGTGAAATGGCACTCATATGCAACGCCGACCTGGGAACCTGTGGACTATCTGAAGAACACAGAAGCATTTGAGAGATGGGAGAGCAGCCCTAAGGAAGTCGTGGAGATCCGACGGCGCAAGCAACAGCGCTTAAAGGGAGGAAGGAGGTAATGTAACGGGCTAGGCCCTGCTGGACAAGGCAGTGCCTTGTCGGTCTAAGCACTGTTGCTCCAGTAACGGCTTAGTCTATTTTGTTGGAGGATTTCTGTCCTTCTATTTTCCTTTCCTTCTTCTTTCCTCAGCTCGAATGTAAAACGCACGAGGACTACATAGCTGTAATTTACACTATTAGAACCCATCACAATCTCGTCGTTCTGTGGCAAAGAAGGATGTGACAATAAGACGAGACAGGAAATTCAAGGCATAGAGACTGTCTTAAATGAACCATAACTTACGCGTATGATTAGAAAGCCTGGCGGAGGCGCCGCGCCGGGAAATACTCCCCTGGGTAGTTTAGCCCTCCCGCCCGCGGTGGAGATTGGCTCCCAAGTGCGGGACGAGAGGATCTCGGCGTGCACGGGCCAACAATTCTTGTATTGGGACCTACCTCCCGGTGGAATAAATTATCATCATCTATCAGCCGCCCCTCTCTCCTTCTCTTTTGGTCCGTCGTTGGTAGGTAGCACGTCCATCCTGCATTTGCTTACCCTCTCCTTGTGGTCCTTCACTTGGGGGAATCCATGGGGACCAAAAGTGGGTCTTGAAGAATGACTGCCTTCCCGGAGACCGCAATAAAGTTCCCATCCCCATCTGCTAACAGTTCAACGCTTGGAGGGTTGTGCACATACCCAGGTTTTGACTTCTTCCCGTCCCTCTCTGTCGTGGTATGTATAAAGCTTGATAAGAACGTGTTGGACCAGTGTGCATCCGCAAAGCAAGCCAGCGCAAGCCATGCAGCTCCCGCGAGGACAACAGCGAGCATGCTTAGAAGGAGCTGTAGGCCAGACATGGCAACAATCAACTTATTAACACTGATTGTGACAAGGGCTGGATCGACGCTAACTATATAGCCCCTTGCGACAAGCAGCCCTTGCATCGTGGCCCACATGTTCCGAGTCCAAGATAGGGCGTTGTTATCGAGGGCATCTGAGCTGAAGTTGGAACGGACCTTGCCAAGCCCGTATAGAATCAAAACAGCAGCAGTGTCTACCTGGCCATAGAACACGTTTCTGTCGTAATCGAGTTTAGCAGAGGCGCAATCAGTCTGGGTGATCCTTCCACCGAACGCCTCGTTCTGGAATGATCCATGGTCGCATTTCTCAAATGGTGTCGGTGGTTTGTCGATGGTTTCGGATCTTATTAGCGTGATGTTGGTCCCAGAGGCGCTAACGAGGGAATATTCGGCTTTCCCAGTATTGCTGTTTGTGAGAGTGAAGTACCCCCAACTAGACTGAAACACCGTGAGGTTCCCGTTCTCGGCCGCGTCAACTCCGAAATGGTAGCTAAGGTTTTGATCTTGCGCGCTCATTATCCCTTCCACAATCTGGCCAATGAGCGGGTTGTTCCTGTCAGTCTCGTTCGTGCTCCAGGTCCGTCGTACTAAATCTTCAACGTCCTGGGTAGCGAATGGAACAGCCGGACTTGTTGCCATGGTGGCGCGAAATACACTCTCAACAAAAGTATGGCGTCTCGTCCCCTTGGTCACGGTAAAGACCTGCATCATGACCGCAGACCCACCACCGGTCCCGAAGGAAGCCCAAATGTTGTCGACCCTGTTTGGTTTCACCCATCTCGAATCCAGCTTCAGGTCTGATTCGTCGTCCCAGTGTACTTCGGGCCTCCCAACGGTTTGCCCAACTATTCCCCGTGAGAACGTGCTGTTAAAGGTGCAGTTCCAGACCGTGGAGACTCTGCCGTAGTGTATGCATCCTAAAGGGAACTTTTGGTGATCGGTGACGGCAAACACAGGTAACATAGCGTAACTGTCTGTCGAAACAGAGAAGCCGTTGCTATCAAGCCAGATTCTCGCCCCGACATTATCTTGCCGCGTCGGTATCGTGATTTCGGGAGTGCCCCTTTGAACTTCACCAGTCAATGTGTAATTGAGGCCAGGCTTAAAAAGCTCAGATCCTATAACCTGTGCGAGTGTTTTCTCCGTGGTTTGCAAGTTACTGGTGTTGAAATCCAGCCGAATAATGTAAGGAGAATCCGTGTTGCGCAAACTCTTATATTCGGCGACTGTAATATTGGATTCTCTGAAGATGTATCCTGGAGAATCTAGTGCCCAGAGTAGGGTCCCATAGAGAGAAGACAGCACATGGAGAACGCTAAAGAGGAGAACGATAAGGCCGGCTCGTGAGAGGCCATTGGACGAGACGAACAGCCAGCGTTGGATATAGCCTTCGGCGAACATAAGGTACGATGTGAATTGATTAGACCGCGCGGCAAGGAGGGAGAAGAGCTTATAGATGAATAGCGTCGTGAGAAGCTCCGCGCATTTGAAAATTATAGATTTCACCGCATTGTGAAGTAGAGGGATCGAGGATGCGATAAATGAGGATGGTGACTCTATCATGGTAGCGATCTTCTAGCGAAAAGCATGGGAATGTTGGTGAATGTTGATAGTCGTGCGACCTGCATGTTTACGTGCATTCGCGCGTGCTTTGCTGAGGCGTTGTCCATATATACTCGAACGTCCACTGCCTTTGCTCGATTTCTCGCATCGTGACTACCGACGTGGCGGCAAACTATCGATTTAACCCTGTCGGCTGACGTTGAGCAACCTTGCACCGTGATAGCAGTGTAGATGACTAGGTACTTATTACGGGGTCTTAAAAACAGTCTACAGGGGGCGCATTTGAAACCCTCTCTTTCTAGGCTACTCTCATGCGGGCACAGTTCAGCTGCATTGCCACTTGTTGCATTGTCGCCTATGGATAGGTTATTCTCAGCAAGCTGAGGGCGCGGGCGGAAGGATAAGGGCAGGCACAATTGAGTCCAAACGATGATGCATGTTTTTCTATCTATCTGTGCGACATTGAGGGGGTATTTATACGAATAGATACCTATCTGGGACCCGTGGAGGCCCTGAATCAGGGCCAATTCCCGTGTATCCCGATTAGGGCAGTGTTCCTCTACTGTATCGATACCTGACTCAAGTCCTTGTGTCTGACCTGCCTCTTTCACCGGAGTTTATACGTGTGCGGATTAGACCGTCAGTCTGCTCCCTCTGACAGTTATCTACTCGGGGTGTTGGCCGGAGAGGGGGGGCCTAAGTCCCTTAGTCAACCCCCCGAGTACGTGTGTTTTGGTGGCTGATTCAGGGGCTGAGCGCCACAACCGCCATACCCGTTGGCTGAAGCTAGGCGGGGCGCCTAGCTTCAGCCAACGGGTAGTATTAACTCACTAAATTGAGCCGGTCTCAAAAGAGGGACCCCCCCGCATGTCTCAGCGCCACCAAATTTGTATACGCTACGGAGGCAGCTTTCAATAGTCATTGCTGACGCTAAAATAACCCCTGTCAATAAAAAGGAAGAACGTACCAAATTTCTATGGCTTTATTCCCTGCTAATACTATCCCTCCTTCCCTCTTGATACTCATTGCCGCCTTCCAATTTAATGATTTTCTGCACATGCCGAGGAATTCGCTCAATCCAAGCTTTTATCTTCTCTTGCGGCAGCTCTTTCCAAGCTGCCTCCCAAGCAGAAATAGCTTCAGCCCGGCTTTTCGGGGCGCCTTTTTTCGTAGTAGTTCTTTTTAGCCAAGGCCAGCAAGGCTCAATAGCATTAAGATCAGGCGAATTGCCACACCAAAGAAGGCGCCGGACTTTATATAAGTCGTACACCTGCTGCTGGATATAGTGGTTGTGAGCTGGAGCTTTATCTTCTTGTATAAGTATCCCTGAAAGATCCTTCTCGCATTCCTTTGCGAAAGGAAAAGAGCTTTGGAATTAAGATCTTAGTTTGGTAGCGATACCAATCGATGCCGCCGCGCTTAGAGCTTCGAGAAAGCTTGCCGTTCTTCGAATTCCATCGCCATTTGGGCTTTGGTCCGGGAAGCTGCCGTAGGTTTAGTCGTCGTATGCCGTTATTAAGTTCCCACGTCTCTTTCATTAAGGGCTCTAATTCCTGGTTCATTTTCGCGATATCTTCTTCGGAAGCTTTCTTCTCTGCAGCGGTCTCTGGAGCCCAACAGTGGCAGGGGCCCTTTTTATCGTAGGAAAAGCAGCCCCAGAACATAAATTCGGAGGATCCTTTCCATCTCTCGCGAATACAGCTCCGAACGAAACGTTCGTTAGCTTTTCTCCAGACGCGATAGCTTCCTCGGCGGTGTAAAAGAATAACCGAAGTCTCGTCAGACCAAATAACCTTCTTCCACGGAGGAAGGAAAACAAGTGGCAGCAACTTTCATCGTAGCCAGACATCTGTTCGTTGTGATCATTTACTGTACCGTTGAAATCACGTTGGGAAATTTCGTGCGATAGCGACATTAAACGCTCCCGAGATTTTGAGATACCTCTGCTGAGTCGCTCGAAAGGAAGACAAGCACAGAAAGATAAGTTGACATGGTCCGACTCCGACCATTTCAAGGACTAGTATATAATGCTTATTTGTACTGTAGGTGTAGTCCCGCAACAAGAAATCTGGGCTGTATTGTAAATATGAAGCGGAATTGGGGCGGGCGAAGACGACTGCCGTCATTCCGTTGCCCAAGTCTAGCCGGACTCGGTACAAGAAGCTATCTTGGCTTAGCTGGTCTAACGATGCCTGGATGTTGCTCAAGCCTTGACTAAGACCTCTTCTAGTCTCCGCGATGCATTCTAGATGTCTCATTGGTTAGCGAGGGTGTCTGAATACCAACTCCTGCTAAGAGACTTGTTGTGTATTTTCGGAACACGATTTCCCGCGGACTTAACTCGTGGGCTGCATCACAGTCGGGCCAATTGATATGCGCGGGGATTCGTCTCTTGTCTTCTTCTAGCGCACGGAACTATTCTTCCGCCGTACGAAGAGCACGGTCCAATTCATCTAGCAACTGTTCGGGTTTCCGTAGAGAAAAGTGGAAACAAGCCATCGAGTGGATGTCGCTCTGGGAGAATCTCGATGGGTCATCCAGCTTGTCTTGGAAGGCCGGCAGAAGGCGGGCGGTGTATAGAAGAAGCCTTTGAGAGGGTACGCGGGGTATGGCCAGGATGTTAACCCCGTCCACGTCAGTTGACAGTCTGTCAGACAGTAGTGCTTGCCCACTTCTTGCCTTCGGAAGTACTTGTTTACAGGAAACACTCCAACCAGAACTAGACTGATAGGCGCAAGCCGCAAGATCAGTGTGAATGCGGTGGCCATACTTACCGGCCTCGCGAAGTGTTACGTACCGTACTTTCAAACTCGCCGCACGAGTCCACTACATATTGTTCCACGGCCACATGTTGCCATGGGATGGGCCCTATTGGATTTAACCGCATCAACTGTATTTACTACAGTGGAGTTCAGGTACTCCATCCGGACTCGCTCCACTACGAGAACGGCCCACAGCCAGAATTGGCGGCAGCAGAGCGCCTAATAAGTTGAAAAATGTACATAACAGCCAGGAGCTTACGCCGTGCAATTCTAAATGCTTTATGAGTACAGTACTTCGTAGGGTGCAGCACATTTAACTATGGGTTAGGGTCTTTGATGATATTTGTTTCGTCACAGAGCTAAATTGACTAAATTATTAACCTGGAAAGGGTACTCCGCGGGCTGATTGGGCGGCCCGGCCCTACCCTTGGGTTCTGTAAAATAACGCCCAGATGCGAGGTATGGGCACAACGCAGTGGCGCAAAGTGATGTTTAAATCGACATCAATAAATTGACAAATAACCACAATTAGATATCCATACATTGAATAGCTGCACAACAGTACATACTCGGGCACCTCCGGACTGTCTCTTCTCAATGGGCAGTGGTATACATAATATTGTAGTTTTAACCCCTGTACGGATATTGTCCACCACACAGATGATCAATATTTGCATTTCCAGCGTTAGTGGCCCAATATTTAGCCCCCATGCTTTGAGTCGTGCCTCGAGATACTTGACAGCCTTCCGGACAGTGGTGGTGCCGCCTATGCAAGCTCCACTTTCGAGGTGTTGTGCCAGTCCACTGATTGTCGTGAAAGACTTGATTAAGTCCTGCTGTGTGCTTGGCGTTGTTGTCGCAAGCGCAGCAGGGCAGTAGACAAATGGCTCGCAATGGGCAGCCGATTGAAGGTGCTGCCGCAAAGCTACTGCTGTGGAGAATGGGCGACGGTCCGGGGAGCAGAAAGGGCAGCGATTTTGTGACGCCTCGGACACAAGCACTGCCCAACCATTAGAACATGTGCTGTCGCATTCTGGAGTCGAGGTGTCTCGTGTAAGCGGTGTAAGCAGAGGAGTCAACTTAGTTTCTGAGTGTATGCTTTTCCTCTGGGCGCATGGAGTTTCCGCTAGGCGCTCATTGACCTGTAACATTGCATCGTCAACTCTTCCCCGAGGTTTAGTAATAAGATGCTCTGTGTCATGCGTCAAAACAATTTGATTCACTTTGTGGCGGTTCATGCCAGACAAGCACGCTCCACTTTCGAGATGTTGGATCAGTCCCGAGGGAGTGGAAAAACGCCTGCCGCACGATTCTGCGAGACACGGCACTTTGCCTAGTGGATGGTGAATCGGAGATATGAGATGTCGCTGCAACGCAGACGCGCTTTTAAAATTCCGCGCACATTTCTGACAGCTCTTTGTTAAGCTGTCCCCGTGTGCTTCCTTTTGATGCTGTCTCAAGGCGGCGGCGTCTCGAAAGCGCCGACGACATCTAGGGCAGTAGCAAGCGGTAAGTGAAGGCTGGCGATGGACTTTGTCTCGAAGATGCTGCTCAAGTGCTGACCTGCTGGTAAAGTTGCGGTCACAGTCACAACAGCGAAATTCTGTCGAGTGAAGGGAGCTCTGTAGGTGCGAAGCCAACGCAGAGGGGCTCGAAAACAATCTGTTGCAGTCTCCGCAATAGCAGTGGTTAGTTTTTCTTTGGTGTATGGCGAGCGTCTTCTTGCTCAGACGACCCTCATGGCATTGGGGAAATTTCCAATCATGGGCATCTCTGTCGTGCTGTTTGAGGCCCTCGAGAGAGGCGAGAACTCGGTGGCAGAGTTGGCAGACGCAATGACCCGTCATCTTCTATTCTTAAGAAGGGCCGTGGGGGAGTAAGAATATTGACTGCAAGTGTCATAGCGTTGATTGACTGGCACAAGCATGGCAATATGGCAAACAGCGGCGCGAATTGATCAAGGGAACATGGTATAGGTCTGTGGTCTTGGGACTATTGGGCTATATAAGGCGTAGCATAGCAGTATGTTCAAGTCCACCGGGACTCTCGGAACCCCACTCGATCGGCGGTTACCCCGCCTTTCCTCTGTCCATTCCAGACCCCTGATCCGTACAGTATTGGACGAGCGGGGCTACGAGACTAAAGGAATGCCGAAGCTCTCTTTCATAGTACTGTACCGCTGCTTAGCCTTTGGGATAGAGGTTCCTGAAGCTTCAAAGGGCGTGGCACCTTTGCATTTGAAAGCCGAAACCAAGCATACAGTATCATCATGTTTGCGCTGTGCACCTTGGCCTCTATTTAACAGACTCGAGCCCGAAGTCAGTATCAGGACCCGTTTCCACCACGACAAACCTTCGCGCATTTTGCTCGTGAAGTGCATCGTCAGACTTTCAGGAGCTTGAGCCCCTTGGCATAAATTGCTGCTCACTGTGAATTTCATTCTGTTTGCGAGAGAAAAAAACTTTTTTGCCCTCGCGTTCGTGCCCCAATTTGCCCGTTACGTGATGGCGTTTGCTAGGTGGTGTGATTATCCATTCACTAACACTATGGCTGCCGCTCTACGGGATAGACGCAGTAGCCGAGCGCTGGTTGTTCGATTACATAAGGATAGTTAACATTTGAGGAAGACGATTGTAACACCTCTTGAACGGTAAAATATTGCCACTGGAATCATTGTACACTCCAGGAAAGAAATGGGCATCTTGACACGCTTCGTACTGCTTCTAGCCCATTAGCCGCTCATAAATTGCTATAAAATCAGCCAGTCCACGGACAGAGTGGACTCAATCGAGACTGAGTTAGTGTACCCATTTCTGGCCTTTATAAAGGGACACTCGGTACGCTGACCATCATATACTTAAGTCCACGGCAGGCGTTGCAAGCTTCACCATAGGGTCATGAGATAGTATCACTTCTAAGAAGACCCGCCATGGAGCTGACTTGGCTAGTGTATATCGTTTTTTCTCTCGTCCACAGTGAAGTGGTTAGCGCAGGGGAAAATATGGCCGGAGCAGTTTGTAACATCGAACACCCGTCAACTACGCCAGAGACATCTAACGAAGCTTCCGTGCCAAGTCCACCTACGGCTACTTCTACCAATAGGGGTTCTGCTATAGCTACTTTGAGTGAGCCGCAGACTACGACTACATGCATTACGCTTCCGTTTATGACTGCAACGCGTCCGATGGCCACATCTTCCCCTTCCGTAGCAGTACAGCTATTGGAATGTCATGCGCCAAGCCAGAAGAAATTAAAGGATACAATGCTTCTAAATTATGCCTGGCGTTACTGTACTGTCGCACAAGGCTTATCCACAGATTGGGCCGCCTGCATCCATGATGACGGCGAGGACATTGAGTATTCCTACGCTATTACGAAGCAAATGGATTGCTCGGATAGCTATTATGTTCCCTCTCATCCAGGCGACTGGGACAAGTTGGTAGATGAATGCGTGCGTATTATGTGGGAAGCTGCGTCTCTGTGCTGGCCTAAGAACGGCGGCACAGGTGGCGTCGTCAGGGCGGGCTGCAGTGACTATCATCTTAAAATCACGTAGTTGCTTCAATGAAATAACGGAAGGATGCAGCGTGCATGCGGATCTGTCTTACTAGTCAGTCTCAGGTTCGCCAGTCGCGTTGCATTAACACCGAGATCCACGATCTTCACTCTGTCAAGATCACAGATTCAGAAGCGAGCGACAGGCAAATATACTTTCTGGTTAGGGTATTCTCCCGAACTTCCTGGTACTTGGTGAATGTACTACGACTCGCCAGTAATCTTCGCCCACTTCTTAATGTCACCGGCAAAAGACTTTGCTATTTCCCTGCGACCCACGTCCTATGCGCTCGACTGGCATCCTGTACCACTTCACGAATCCATGCAACCGGAATCGTCTACTGCAGCAAACCTGCTTGGGAATTCCCGGCCTCGTTATTGTTCCGTGGACCTAGTGCGAATTTAACATATACCATGATAGTGCGCAAGGGCAGCAGAGCGTGAACTGCGGCTCATTCGCTACAGTATCTTCGGCGCTGCCATGCGTACAAATTGATGTACGTGATGAGTAGGCCCACATATTTCTTGGTTTTATATCTGAAAGAGATTTATGACCACAGTTGCACAATCGCGCACGCATAGTATCGGCTGCGAGAACCTTGAATGGTGCATACTGCATTTAGGGGTGGTGATCGGAAATACGTCTCGGGGACAGTCAGCGACGGCAGTGCAATGACTTCTGTGGCGAGTCTTGGCTGCCATAAAATGAAACCAGGCTTTCAGTGAGGGCGCTAGGGACCTGCCAGGCCGACATGGACGCACCATGAGCCCAATGTGCTTTATCAGCCGACGAACATGGGTTAGGCGTGGTAGGCTGTTGGGGTGGTCGTACCAAATTTCTTACAATGTACGGAGTAAAGTGCACGGGCAATAACTCGGCATGCCGAGTGGTTGACAGGCGGGTTGGTTGGTCCGGCGGCTTGGACCTGTTCAGCTATTGGCTGCAGGCAGCACCTCGCATCTCTTCAAAGGTGGCTGCGGATTTACACACCATTTCGCGTATTAGGTAACGAGGGCCAGTCATTCCCAAGGGGGCCCTTCCCAATACGAGTCGTTCTCATCCTTCTTAACCCACCACTTTCCCTTCAACGTACGCGTTTTACGTACCGCTGTGATTCTAAGAAACCCCAAGACACTGCATTGCATGCTGACCGCGATTTCATGACCACTTCGCCATTACAGTCCCTGCGCCATTTGTCAGTCGCATTTTGTCCCCCCTGACGATGGACAGCCAAGCTAGTCTTCCCCGGCGGGCACTGCAGAGGCGTAATATTCGTCATGAAACGTCTACACAGAGCGATTGGCCCCAGTTCCAAAAGTCTCAGACGCCGGCTGAAGATGATCATATCTTCGCAGCCTGCAAGCAAAAGGCTAAAGGCGGCGAACCAACTGGCCGCACAAACGCTTCCGGCCGCAAATTCGAGTTTCAACGCACTAATTGCAGGAGCAGCGGGCAGGAACGAACATCAATATCTTTACCTAGTCTCGAGTCGCAGGCAGACCTCTTTGTCAGTTCTACCCCTGACACGGACTACGATGTCGACTCAGATGAACAAGATGGAAACGAACATCCGTCGCTCGAAGAAAACATGCTTTATGAGCGTTTTCGAGCGGAGGGACCAACTCTAGCAAACCATTGCAAAAAAACCCTACAAGCGATGGCCGGAGAAGAAGATCAATGGGCCCAGTCAGTCACATTTGTTGAGAGAAAGGAGTGGTCTCCCAGTGCTGACAGTTCATTCGACAGTTTTTGCCGACGTCGAAATGAAGAACCAATCGAGTCACTGCGTCGGTGTGACACGGCATTATTCAAAGTTTACCTGGACCAGAGAGTGAAAAATTCGAGAATCAAGAAAGAGTCCACCATTGCGTTATACTGGAAGCGATTGAGCCAGGTCTACGCACAGAAAAGCGCCAAGTGGATGACTGAAAGCGTTCTTTTCGATATTCGAAATGTAAGTCAGTTGGGCAAGTTTTACAATCAGGGGTTGACGACACCAGTGGATTCCGACCTACCTTACACCAAAGTATGGCTTGGACACATCCAAAAAGGAAAAATCTGGCATCTTCATTGACGACTTGGCCATCATGCTGAACCACCTTTGGATCCGTGACGAGGAGATTTTTGCTCACGAGCGGCTTCGTGTCCAGTTATCGGTTAACTTGATCCTGGCCGGCGCTACCGCGACCAGGCCGGGAGCCTTGATTGGGCAGTTGCTCTACGAGAACTTAGAGTTCCAACTGTTTCCTCCGGTAAAAGGAGACACACGGCCGCGTATTGCTCTAATCGTAAATCTAGAGCATATCAAGCGCACGGCGGGAGGCTCAGAGCCGAAAAGATTTGCCTTTCGCGAAGATGATTTGCTCTTGTACGACCCGCTAATCCCGATGATGGCTCTGGCATTTTGCGACGGTGCGTTCGTCAATGATTTGGCAGGTCCACAAAGCCTGTATAGTTTCATTGTGCCACCTGACACCGATCGCATTCGTCTTCTTTGGAAAAAAGAGTGGCTGAAGCGCCCGGTTTTCCGAGACGTTGAAGACACTGAGCACGGTATACAGATCTCATTAGAGAGGGCACTTGACTACAAAAAGGAACGACGGCATTTGATAAGACTGGGCCGTTCGGTTGGAATTGAAAAGCAGCTGGAATGGTATGACCTTCGCCGAGGGTCTGGCAAGAAATTAAATGGTTCGTGCCCCCAGTTCGTTCATTTGGCAGCATCAATAACGCCGTTATGCAGAAGCGCTCACGCCAGAGGAGAGAAACAAAATTATGGGACATCGAAGGGGAGATTCGAGCACTTACTTGCAATATTATATGTCAAACTTCATTGACGTGGATTGTCAGTCAATCTGCTTCGGTACAGCCCCACAACACGACCTTGTGCAGCTGGCTGCCCGCCTTCGCCGCCACGACGGCGCTCCAACAGAGCTGACAGTTCAACAAATTGCGAAAGTTCATAAAAATGAAAAACTTACTAAGTACCGTGCCGAGAGAAACCAAGCGATGCTAGAGTGGAAACGCCAAGGTTACCGCAGCCGAGAGCACGCAGAAGGCACTGAAATGCAGAAGCGATACGACCGTTACAACAAGAAGATTAACAACTTGCGCCGGGTCTTGAAGGCGTCTCAATTACAAAAAGCCATTCAAGACTTTCACACCAATGTCCATGTGGACGAGGTTGATCGACAACTCCGGGGTGTAAAGCCTGCCGACGTCATCTCACCGCCAAACATAGAGTACGACTTACCAGAGCGGGCCCAGGTTGCATTTCTCTTCTCACGGGCAGCTGAGTTGACAGACACGGCATCTTTACTCTCTTTGCGTGTGGATTTGATATCGGCACTCACCCGGCTTTGCAAGCGACGTGAAAGCCCTTGTCGCGGGACAGAGAAGAGAGGCCGCAAACAAGCGGTCACGAGAAGCCTCCGCTCTTACCGTGCGCAGGCAATCCGCGATAATGGCATCGAGGACGGTATTCCAGAATTAGAATCACTTGAAAAATCAAGCGAGTCTATAGTGGATTCGTCGGAAAGTGCAAGATCAACGTGCCCATTCTGTCAATGGCAGGGCAGCCATGGAAGGAGCCAACGGGTTAAAACATGGCGACTGGGCAACCTGGCAAGACATATTCGGGGTCAACATCTTAAAAGGAAACGAACGGCATTTCTCTGCCCTTGGCAAAACTGTGAAGCAGTACTTGCAGATGCAGAACACTTCGCAAACCATGCGTCTCGACACGGGCTTGATTTACCACCGAGTATACTAAGGTGATGACCTTCTCATAGCGATGGAGAGACGGCCAACAAGCTTTACAGCTTAGCACTTATATACGTAACATTCTTACTACGATTCTAAATCGGCTGGTAAGTATATTCAAAATTGCTATAACCTAACGACTTGCAGCTATGTTGCCTCTCATCCGGCTACATGAGATGCTTTCCATTATGTACCGCACATAATCTCTTCTGTGTCTGATTTTCTTTGCCAAGGTTTTCAATAGATAGTTCAGCCTTCTCCTGAGACAAGCTGCTGCTGTCTGGAGCTGCTTCGCAATAGACGTCGAACACCGGTGGCGTGTCCGCTGAGAACTGCCGAGCAGGAAATGGAGGCACCGAGGAGGCTTTCTGCGTCGAAAAGCTTTGGGGGTCTTTCTTCACGGCCCTATAACTCCTTTCCTTGCATCGATTAGCTTCGGATCGCTAGCGTGGCTCAGATTGACTTACTATATCAAGGACACTGGGCCTAAAAGAAGGAGAGGATGAATATTCGAAATATCTGCCATGTCTAGCACAAAAGTAGATATCGATGCCATACTTGGATTGCATTGTGTTTAGTTTCTTCATCACATTGCGGAGGCTTCTTGATACGTTCTCACTTCTTCGATCTCTTTTCTGGGGAGTGGGAGAGATCATCTTAACCATGGTTTTCGCCAGCAGAGCAGGAAGACTATTTTGTGTAGGTTCCATTCGTTGTATAAAGTAGTTTGAGCTCTCTTTCATATGTATACTCTGGGGCCGCAAAGTCGCCACTTACATGCAGACCTGAGCAAGAAAGGCAATAGTCGACTTGTTGGTTGGAGAGCTTACTGTTAACTACATGTAGAGTACAATAGTGATCAATGAGGACATGTCAGCGAAAGTAACGGCGTTATTATCATACTATATCTGATGGTGGCGTCCCTTCACGACTACTTACGTCAATCGACTATGCCGGGGAGATTGCTCGAAAGCACTGATTATACAGGGGTCGCTCAGTTACATGCTGTAAGTCAATTTATCCGTTTTACGCAGTTAAAAAGAGAAGCCGCTTCTAGATTGGGTCACTCCCATCCCAGGATCACACTCATCCCAGGACCACACTCATCCCAGGACCGCTTTCATCCCAGGATCACTCCCATCCCAGGATCACTCCCATCCCAGGACCACACTCATCCCAGGACCGCTTTCATCCCAGGATCACTCCCATCCCAGGATCACTCCATCCCAGGATCACTCCATCCCAGGACCACACTCATCCCAGGACCGCTTTCATCCCAGGATCACTCCCATCCCAGGATCACTCCCATCCCAGGATCACTCCCATCCCAGGACCACACTCATCCCAGGACCGCTTTCATCCCAGGATCACTCCCATCCCAGGATCACTCCCATCCCAGGACCACACTCATCCCAGGACCGCTTTCATCCCAGGATCACTCCATCCCAGGATCACTCCCATCCCAGGACCGCTTTCATCCCAGGATCACTCCATCCCAGGATCACTCCCATCCCAGGACCGCTTTCATCCCAGGATCACTCCCATCCCAGGATCACTCCCATCCCAGGATCACTCCCATCCCAGGACCACACTCATCCCAGGACCCTTTCAACCCAGGATCACTCCCATCCCAGGATCACTCCCATCCCAGGATCACTCCCATCCCAGGACCACACTCATCCCAGGACCGCTTTCATCCCAGGATCACTCCCATCCCAGGATCACTCCCATCCCAGGATCACTCCCATCCCAGGATCACTCCCATCCCAGGACCACCTCATCCCAGGACCGCTTTCATCCCAGGATCACTCCCATCCCAGGATCACTCCCATCCCAGGACCACACTCATCCCAGGACCGCTTTCATCCCAGGATCACTCCATCCCAGGATCACTCCCATCCCAGGACCGCTTTCATCCCAGGATCACTCCCATCCCAGGATCACTCCCATCCCAGGACCGCTTTCATCCCAGGATCACTCCCATCCCAGGATCACTCCCATCCCAGGATCACTCCCATCCCAGGACCACACTCATCCCAGGACCGCTTTCATCCCAGGATCACTCCCATCCCAGGATCACTCCCATCCCAGGATCACTCCCATCCCAGGACCACACTCATCCCAGGACCGCTTTCATCCCAGGATCACTCCCATCCCAGGATCACTCCCATCCCAGGATCACTCCCATCCCAGGATCACTCCCATCCCAGGACCACACTCATCCCAGGACCGCTTTCATCCCAGGATCACTCCCATCCCAGGATCACTCCCATCCCAGGACCACACTCATCCCAGGACCGCTTTCATCCCAGGATCACTCCCATCCCAGGATCACTCCCATCCCAGGACCGCTTTCATCCCAGGATCACTCCCATCCCAGGATCACTCCCATCCCAGGACCGCTTTCATCCCAGGATCACTCCCATCCCAGGATCACTCCCATCCCAGGATCACTCCCATCCCAGTATCACTCCCATCCCAGGACCGCTCCTATCCCAGGATCACACTTATCCCAGGATCGCTTTGCAGGATGGTCACTTGAGTAGATTGAGGGGGGCCAAGTGGCACTGAAGCAGCTTTTGGCATGCAGAGTGGATATGTAGTTGGTTCGGAGGGTCTATGTACGGCAGCTCCACAAGCAAGCCCAGACACCCTGAGCAGAAGGTGCAAAGACGAAGCTCAATGATTTATGCAACAGCAGCACCCATCTCTAAATGATGCGCGTAAATCAGCAGCGCGCTCCAAATTTAGCGAAACGGCCTGTAGAGCGAGATACTGTCTATACTAGGTCCTTGCTAGCAATTTAACTCTTTACTTCACAGGAGTACATGTACTGTAATGTGGTAGAGCTACGAGCTCTATCTGCAAAACCATCCCATCCCATATGACTCACCACCTATGCCGGCCGGGGATAGTTGGAAGCTACACTATCTATCCCTTCGTCCCGTTGCAGCCGTCCTATTCCCCAAGATGCATGCGGGGCTGCCGTACATAACTCGCCAACCAACAGCAGCAGTATACATGCATCACCTCACATTGAGCACCAACAGCGGTATCTGGAGCAGCGCGGAACCGTATGCCAGTCTCGTTGACGACGTCGAGACCGGAGTAGTCCGTTTGCCAGCCGCGCTAGGACAGCACCACTATTTGGTTTTGTGTACTTACATGTGCTTCAAAGTACTTAGAGTTACCGAATGAATCTCGAAGCGAACGCGGCCTGGCGACGTATATTTGGCTTCTGGTCGCTTTCTCACCAACGACCTCGATACCCGGTGTCGCCCAGCTTCCACCGTTTCGTCCCCTTATCCCTTACTTTAGTTCATAGTAACTCGACCCTATTATTTCTACATTTCTTCCACCTATCTTAAGTATTGGCGCTGCTTCCCGGGAATAAGTGAGCCCAAAGGCAAGAAGTGGACAATCCGCCGTAGCTCATCAACTATCTCCCAAGCGCCCTTTTTCAGGATTGATGGGCGAAGGTAATAAGCTGCAGCTATGAGGTACAGTAAGTACGCTAATCGTGCGAACAAGTGAGCGTTTGCTTGACGGCATCCATGTGCGTTTTCCCTCCGCCCCTCAGTGATCGCAGAAGGCTACCCAGAAAGAGGGGCTAGGCGTCACTTGCATCGGTGGATGAGTGGGAACTGCACCACTAGCACCAGACTGCTGCAGCTATCATTGTAGAGGAACGGCCACAGCCGTAGTGGCTAAGCCATATGAGGCTGAGTCACAACATGACCGTGGCACGGGGACTCAGATATCTTACGCCTAACTTGTGTTGGCTGACGTGAAGCTCTCTACACGTGGTCAATGTGATATGCACGCCTACTGCCTTGGCATCAGAAAATTGACAGCTGCCTTGGACAAAACCCCGGTGCGGTGCTGACGAACGTTGTCCTACAAGCGTTGGGTGGTGTCTAAACTAGGTAGGCACGGTTGGTTGCAATGAACGAGTGAACATAGCAGGAATGGACGAGCGAACATAGTAGGAATGGACGAAACGCCTTTGGATAATCCCCACGTGTACTGTATGCACCTGCACTGTTCGATTGTTGAAGAGCGAGTTAGAAAATAGCAAGATTACAGCAGAGCTTGTGCGAAGGCTGCAGGGGAAAGTCCAACACAATGGCCTTCTCCAGTTTTGCCAAAGAAGACCCTCCGCCGCCTCGAGATAGCGTCTAAGTGACTTGTGAAGATATCTGTAATCAGTTCAATTGTCGAAATATGCTTATTTAGAGATTTTTGCGGTAGTTGTTAATGCAACGGATGTGGATACTGACCGCCTGGCGACTCCTGTGGTACTTCTACACGCGCATTAATGCTTGCAGAAGATGGCTAAAATGCTTTCAAAGATATATCACGAGGCACGCCTTGCCAGCTATTGAGGTAAAGGCGAGATACTGATTGTCCTAGTGGCGATGTCTATTCGTGGCTATCAGGCGAAAAGCCACAGGGACAGGGGAGTACCACAAAGATGAACCGGAGCTGCTGGCGAGAAGGAAACGTGATGAGACATCCGGCCACACCGTCAAATTTCGTTCGTCAATCATTTCAGCTATACGCCAAGAAAATTCACCCATGCAGAGGTGTAGAAATTGTTCAAGTCATCTGG